TGTTATGGTAATGAACCCTGCACTGTATTATATGTTATGGTAATGAACCCTGTACTGTGTTATATGTTATGGTAATGAACCATGTACTGTGTTATATGTTATGGTAATGAACTCTGCACTGTGTTATTTGTTATGGTAATGAACCCTGCACTGTATTATATGTTATGGTAATGAACCCTGTACTGTATTACATGTTATGGTAATGAATCCTGCACTGCGTTGTGTGATATGATAATGAACCCTGCTGACACTGAACTGGTGAAGGTCACCACATCATGGCATAAGCTCACTTGGCCCTTCCGTTGAGGTTAGCTAATAATGACTTTTGAGCACATAGCCTAGCTCAAACCTTCACCAGAAATTATGATTGGATCATTATTGTGTTGGAAGGTATTGAATTGCCATGTGAAAATACTTTCATATTAGTTATATAATTATGAAAGTCAAATAGCTTCGGAAAAAAAGGAAATTTTCCAAATGTTAATTCTCATCAATCTTTATTTAAAAGTCAGCAAGCAAAACAAAAAATCTATTTATAGGACAAAAAAAGTCCATTGTTGTAATTTGATGGGTAAAATCAAATATTCTTTAGACAGTACATGTGTATGTTACTTAGAGCCAAGCCAAACAAAATGTCAGTGGGCATTTATTACAGAGTAACAATGCAACTAAGCCACAATACCAACACTGTGTGAAATGTGAAACATGCAATTAATTTACACAATAAATTTGATTTGGTTATGTTTCAATATGATGTATGATAAAGGGAGAAACAGGGCAATATTGATGGACTAATAAAATCATTTACCTGTAAGTGAGACAGGGTTATCTTAGTTGAGGGCTAAAACTCTTTAAAATAATCTGAGGTGCAATAATGCAGAATCTTAAAATACATGACCTTGTATCATTATAGTGTAAAACACCTGACATTTTATCATTATAGCGTAAAATACATGGCCTTGTATCATCACAGTGTAAAACACACGACCTTGTATAACATAACCTGGAAACTAGCTGTATCACTATAGTATTATTCACCAGGTATATAATAAACACAGTATTCCATTAATCCATCTAGCTGTTATATCTACCTGATTTAAAGGTTAGCATGTGTGTAGTAGATTCCAGTGTCATGAGAACGATTAGTTGCCATCCACATTACTGTGTCTGGTGTCCAGATTACCCTCCACATTACTGTGTCTGGTGTCCAGATTACCCTCCACATTACTGTGTCTGGTGTCCAGATTACCCTCCACATTACTGTGTCTGGTGTCCAGATTACCCTCCACATTACTGTGTCTGGTGTCCAGATTACCCTCCACATTACTGTGTCTGGTGTCCAGATTACCCTCCACATTACTGTGTCTGGTGTCCAGATTACCATATCTCAATCTGTTTTTGTATTTGATTTCAAAACTCCACACTTTTATTGACATAAGCAGCCTTTAGAACTAGCTACACTAGTCAATACATTTTGTTTCTGGTATATCTGATATAACAATAGGTGATCATGGAGAAAAACCATGGCATCATGGCACACTTTCAAAAACTGTCAATACTACTGTTTCATCTAGATAAGCAAATCTGATAAAGCTTCAAAATTGATACATGTAGTAAGTCTCTGACACTTACATATTGTTTATATTCAGCGCTACTTTGGATATTGTCTGTCACTAAACAAGCTGATCATTAATCTAGACAAATAGAATACTTACATTACAATTGATATTCATTTACAGTAAATTACAATAGGTCAGATATTCAAAGTTTTTTTCATATTTGTAAACACATATAATGAGTAGTCACTGTATACATTGCTAGGCATCAGGACATTTCTACAACCAAACACAATGTTAAGCTCTGTCCCTATGAAGAGCTTGAAGGAATGTCCGCAATCGTAGGTCAAGGTCATCTATTTTTCCCTCCAGGTCTTTCTCGCTCTCTTTCGTTGTCTCTGCTCCCTTCTTCTTTGCGGAGTCTACAAAACAAAGTAGGTGTTATTAGAGGGGAACACAGCAGATCGCAGATCATCACCATCTTGGCTTTATTAATTATATTAGTTATTTTCCCATTAAATTATTAAATACTAATTTCCTCCTTTAAATGCTTATTCTTGTCAAACTTTAACATTGCATATTGAACAAAAAAAATCACTGTACACTCAAACCAAAGTGTTTATACTAAAACCTCTACTGTACACACAAACCAAAGGGTTTGTACTAAAACCTCTACTGTACACACAATCCAAAGTGTTTATACTAAAACCTCTACTGTACACACAAACCAAAGTCTTTGTACTAAAACCTCTACTGTACACACAAACCAAAGTCTTTGTACTAAAACCTCTACTGTACACACAAACCAAAATGTTTGTACTAAAACCTCTACTGTACACACAAACTAAAGTGTTTATACTAAAACCTCTACTGTACACACAACCTCTACTGTACACACAAACTAAAGTGTTTATACTAAAACCTCTACTGTACACACAACCTCTACTGTACACACAAACTAAAGTGTTTGTACTAAAACCTCTACTGTACACTCAAACAAAAGTGTTTGTACTAAAACCTCTACTGTACACACAAACCAAAGTCTTTGTACTAAAACCTCTACTGTACACACAAACCAAAGGGTTTGTACTAAAACCTCTACTGTACACACAACCCAAAGTGTTTATACTAAAACCTCTACTGTACACACAAACCAAAGTCTTTGTACTAAAACCTCTACTGTACACACAAACCAAAGTCTTTGTACTAAAACCTCTACTGTACACACAAACTAAAGTGTTTATACTAAAACCTCTACTGTACACACAAACCAAAGTCTTTGTACTAAAACCTCTACTGTACACACAAACCAAAGTCTTTGTACTAAAACCTCTACTGTACACACAAACTAAAGTGTTTATACTAAAACCTCTACTGTACACACAAACTAAAATGTTTGTACTAAAAAATTCCACTGTACATTTGACAACCTTAATAGTTCAGTTTAATTTCAAATTCATCAGAAACAATAAATAGATGGAATATATTGTGCAATATTACTTCCTTATTATTCACCTTTAGAATAACCCAAGATAAAGTCTTTGATTTGGTCGAGAAGGAAAGTAGCCATGGCAGGGTCGTCTGGCAGGAATGATGGATCCTTACGCACCTCGGTAATGCATATTGAACAAAAAAAATCACTGTACACTCAAACCAAAGTGTTTATACTAAAACCTCTACTGTACACACAAACTAAAGTGTTTATACTAAAACCTCTACTGTACACACAAACCAAAATGTTTGTACTAAAACCTCTACTGTACACACAAACCAAAGTTTTTGTACTAAAACCTCTACTGTACACACCAACCAAAGTGTTTATACTAAAACCTCTACTGTACACACAAACCAAAGTCTTTGTACTAAAACCTCTACTGTACACACAAACCAAAGGGTTTGTACTAAAACCTCTACTGTACACACAAACCAAAGTCTTTGTACTAAAACCTCTACTGTACACACAACCCAAAGTGTTTATACTAAAACCTCTACTGTACACTCAAACTAAAGTGTTTGTACTAAAACCTCTACTGTACACTCAAACAAAAGTGTTTGTACTAAAACCTCTACTGTACACACAAACCAAAGTCTTTGTACTAAAACCTCTACTGTACACACAAACTAAAATGTTTGTACTAAAAATTTCCACTGTACATTTAACAACCTTAATAGTTCAGTTTAATTTCAAATTCATCAGAAACAATAAATAGATGGAATATATTGTGCAATATTACTTCCTTATTATTCACCTTTAGAATAACCCAAGATAAAGGCTTTGATTTGGTCGAGTAGGAAAGTAGCCATGGCAGGGTCGTCTGGCAGGAATGATGGATCCTTACGCACCTCGGTAAACGCATCATTGATCACGCTCAACAGCATGTTGATGAGGATGAAGACTATCACCAGTACAAAGAGGAAAAGAAAGAGAGATCCAAGCAGTCCATTGACCATGATCATGTTATCAATCTCCATCTTCATCATCAGCATGGACATGAGCGTTTCAAGAGTTGTGATGAACGTGTAATAGCCACGGTCCACCCCTCCAAACACTAGGTAGCCAAACTGAGCGAATGACAGGAAAGTGAGGACAAACACTACCATGAAGTTTGTGATGGGACCCTTTGCCTTCCTCAGTGTACCTGACAACTGGGTTATTTTGGGATTAAAGCGAAGAATCAGCAGTAACTTGAGCATGGACAGGAACAGAAGGAAGGCTAGCATGTATCCAAATAAGGCTTCCCACAATACAATGTGCTGAAGGTTTAAATAGGCATCTGTGAAAATAACAAAAATATAATTATTGATAACAGCAGGATAATATTTGGGATTAAATAGTTAGAGTAAAAACATCTTTTTCTTCTTAAATGATATAAAATGCAACCTCTGTAGTAAATGATTACAACATTTATGTCTCATCTAATGCATTAATAAACAAGAGGCCCAATGGGCCTGAATCGCTCACCTGGTATTAACCTCACACTTGTAATCTTAAAAGTGGACTAAAATACAACTACAAGCAGAATATCGGTGTTTGATTCATAAGAACTTATTGAAAGATTTAAACATATGACGCCCGTGACCTTGAATGTCGAGCAAGGACATTAGGTTGAACAGAGTTTATAGTCTTCAAACCCAGCATGCTTCTAGCAAAATATCGTTACCCTGGACTTTTGGTTATACAGAACTAATCATTTAAAGATTTAAACATATATTGACCACTGTAACCTTGAGTATGGGCGAAGGTCATTGATTTGAACAAACTTGGTAGCCCTTCATCCCAGCATGTTACTGGCCAAATATCATCACCCTAGCCCTCTCGGTTATTCAGAAGAAGTTGTTTAAAGGTTTAAATATATTTGACCCCTGTGACCTTGAATATAAATCAAGGTCATTCATTTGAACAAACTTGGTAGCCCTTCATCCCAGCATGTTACTGGCCAAATTTAAGTACCCTAGGCCTCTTGGTTATTCAAAAGAAGTTGTTTAAATGTTTTGAACATATTTGACCCCTGTGACCTTTAATATTTGTCAAGGTCATTCATTTGAACAAACTTGGTAGCCCTTCATCCTAGCATGTTACTGGCCAAAAGGTCATTTATTTGAACAAACTTGGTAGCCCTTCATTCAAGTTTGCTTCAGGCCAAATATCATCACCCTAGGCCTCTTGGTTATTAAGAATAAGTTGTTTAAAGTAAAATATTGACGCCCGACGCTGGATGGACGCCGCACCATGGCATAAGCTCACTTGGCCTTTCAGCCAGGCGAGTTAAAAAATGAATTTAACAAGAGGCCCAATGGGCCTGCATCGCTCACCTGGTATTAATCTCACAATTGTAACCTTAAAAGAGGACTAAATTAAAGCTACAGGCAAAATATCAGCGTCTTGACTTAAAGTTTAAAGTAATTCAGAAAAAATTGGCAAAGGTCATTCATTTGAACAAACTTGGTAGCCCTTCATCCCAGCATGTTACTGGCCAAATATCATCACCCTAGGCCTCTCGGTTATTCAGAAGAAGTCGTTTAAAGGTTTTAAACATATTTGACCCCAGTGACCTTGAATATAAATCAAGGT